ATCCCGGGCATAATGGCCAGGAGTACCACAATTGTAACAAACACCTAGTTTCTGTGTTGATCTTGTAGAATTTGAGAATTTATTTTGTCGATTTGCGTCATTTCCAGCTGTTGTATTCTTATTAGAAGTTGTACGAGTTTGTGTTGCGTCTGCATAGCCAGAATTTTTTTGATTAAATTTATTGTTTGATGTTTGTGTGAATGTTACTTGATTACGTAATTGATTTTGATAACTAGTTGCATTAATAATGGTAATATCATTGTCCAGTAATTCATTATTTGTATTGGTGAGTGATAATACATCTTCTATCTTCTTTGCTGATGATAAAAATGCTTCTGTTGTTTGAGGATCTTGTAATGCAACATGTGTCTTCAATGATTCTTTAATTCCAGCCATTAAATATTTCAATTTCAAACAATCAGGCATCACAGGATCAACTTTCTTACATAATTCAATAATTTTGTCATAATATTGTGTAATGGATTGGTTAATTGTTTGTTTATACCATTTTAATTGTTCGAATGCTAATTCTTGTGCTCGTGTTGATCCAAAAGCTCGTGTGACTGCATCTTTAAACGAAGACCAGGCCTTGATTGTTGAGGATGTTTGCATCCACCACCGATATGCATCATCTTGTAAGTGTATTGATATATAATGTAATTTATTTTCATCATTCCATTGAGCCATTGTAAATCGTTGCTCCAACTTATCCAACCGGTCATATACATCATCATGTGAACCACGAAAATATGTCGGTCGTTTAATGATTTCATCTGCTACTGTTCGTTGTAAATGTGATGTAGATGAATTATCAGGTACTGTGGTCACTAATGTGCCTGTACCTACTATAGAATTTGTTGGTGATGATGTCGTTGATTTGAATTGTTGAAGGAATAACTTACTGAATGTTTCGAAGTTGAAAATAGCATCACTGTTGTCAGCATACCATAAATAAGCATCGCCCTCTAATAATAAAGGTATAGCTTCAAACTGATCATCACGTCGTAAACCACATGCTTTAAACTGATTCATGGTTTGTAATAACCAATTTCTTGCGTCACCAACACCTGCATATTTGTCAAATTTTGCATCGATAAGATCTTCTAGTACGACCACTT